GACACACACACACACAGAGACCATCTGCAGTGTCAATGCGGCGCCTGCTCTGAAGACTGAAGTGGGGGGGAAAGGAGAGGAGGAAAAAAAAAAAAAATCCATAATACCAAAACCCACCCAAAGCAAGCGAGGAGCCTTCCCAGGTAAGGAGCCCCCCCCCTGCCCCGCCCGGGCTGGCGGGAGGATGCCCCGGAGGATGCCCCGGGAGGGCCGGCGGGGCTGCAGCGGTACCTGCCCTCCACACCTGGCAGGAGTAAGGGGAGTGTGAGATGGGGGGGGGGCTTTGGGAGGTGCCCCCCCGCCGCTTCTCACTGTCGTGGGGCGGGGGTCGGGGCTGGCGAGCAGGGACCCCGGGCTGAGCCGGGGGTGGCCGGGCACGGCCCCTCCGCCCCTCCCGGAACGGCTCGGGAGGATGCTGGGGGGTGTGGGGGGGTGGTTGCAGTGGGGACCCCCGGCATCCCCCTCCTCCTCCACATCCCCAGCGCGGAGGGGACGCGGTGCTCGGTGTGTGTGTGTGTGTGTCCCCGGGTCCCCGATGTTTTTTTCCCCATGCACAAAGCTTAACTTTTCTCCCCGGAGGTAGCGGCTCCGGTGTCGCAGCCTGTCCCTAATCACCCCCGGCCATCCCCGGCTGCGGATTTTCCTTCCCTTGGGGGGTATTTTCCTTCCCTCGGTGCCCCAGAGCCTTCCCCGGGCGAGGGGCTGGAGGCATTTTGCAAACTTTTCCTGCTCCCGACGAGGTTCTGGACGGGGCTGGAGGCAGAACCCTTTTCCCGGGGAGGATCAACCCCTCCCGAGTGACCGGTGGATGGGGACAGGAGCCACCCCCGGCGGGGAACACCTAGGAGGGAATTGGGGGGGGGTGGTTGCAGTGGGGACCCCCGGCATCCCCCTCCTCCTCCACATCCCCAGCGCGGAGGGGACGCGGTGCTCGGTGTGTGTGTGTGTGTGTCCCCGGGTCCCCGATGTTTTTTTCCCCATGCACAAAGCTTAACTTTTCTCCCCGGAGGTAGCGGCTCCGGTGTCGCAGCCTGTCCCTAATCACCCCCGGCCATCCCCGGCTGCGGATTTTCCTTCCCTTGGGGGGTATTTTCCTTCCCTCGGTGCCCCAGAGCCTTCCCCGGGCGAGGGGCTGGAGGCATTTTGCAAACTTTTCCTGCTCCCGACGAGGTTCTGGACGGGGCTGGAGGCAGAACCCTTTTCCCGGGGAGGATCAACCCCTCCCGAGTGACCGGTGGATGGGGACAGGAGCCACCCCCGGCGGGGAACACCTAGGAGGGAATTGGGGGGGGGTGGGGTGTCCCCCTGTTCTTTCCCTTCCCGCAAGGTGCTGGAGAGTTTGACTGCCCAAATCCCGGCTGCGGAGTCAGCGCTGATAAACCTCCCTCCGTGCATGTGTGTGCTGCAACCGAAACCTGCGTATTGATGCTCTTCGTCGATCAGACATATGCCCTTAAATTATGTAGACAGGGAGAAGTGATCTAAACACCAAGCCGCACATGGTTTTGGTGGAAATATAATACTCCGGCAGCAGATGAGTTCCTCCCAGATAAACAAACCCACTTGCTCAGCCCCAGCAGGGCTAAGTGCTGTTTGGGTTTGTAGTGGCTGCATGTGGCTGCTACATCCCCAGCCCAGAGGAAACCCTCCTCCTGGGGCCCCATCTGCTCCCCGTTCTGGGCAGGGACGCAGCCTTTGCAGTGTCAGATCGGGGTGGAGAACCTGCAGGACTCGCCTTGGCGGAAGGGACCAGGTGGAAAGCGTGTGGCCGCTCTCCTCTCCCGTAAAAACTTCCACCCTGCGTCTCCCTCCGCTTCGCTTCCCAGCCCCGCTGCCGGGCAGCAAAGAGCTGGCTAGGAACTCACCTGATTTTTTTTAATTATTTTTTTTTTATGGCTTCCCTCCATCACCGGGATGCGATGCCTGGGATGGGAGGGTTTGGGGAAAGCGAAGGGGGCTTGAGGCTTTCCAGGTGGTGGGGGTGAGTGGTGCGGAGAGGGGAGGTTTGGGCTGGGACCCCTGGGACTGCTGGAGGATGCTCTTATTCCGAGGGAACAATGACAGTGTCCGGGGATTTTTACAGCCGATGCAAGCACTCTCAGCTTTCTAGGGACTTACCACGAGCGTACAACCAGCCCTGCACAAATATTTTTGAAGGCATAAAGCGTGCTAACTTATTTTCTTTATTCGTCCTCCGTTTCACCCGGGTCTTGTTTAGAGAAGCCGGTTAAATCTGTGAGCGGGTAGGACTAGCGGAGCATGGGGTTGCTTTGCTTTCGCCGTCTCTGTGATTTTAATTACAGCGTGTGCCTCCCAGTGTGAGATTAGGTGCTTCCTTCCCCTGGCTAAACCACTGTTAAGGTCTCAGGGATGCGAGGAGCGGCCGTTTTATTTGTGGTTTAATTGCCTTGGGAAGTGTGTGTGTTTGTGTGCGGGACCCTTCACTAGAGCCGGGCTTCGAGCGGTGCAACAGATGTGTGTCTGCTTTCCCTGCGCAGCCAGGTTTAAACATGCAACCCCAGCCCTGTCACGAAAGCCTGGGATTTTCTTCCCTCCTCTGCCCAGACCCATCCTCCATGGGGGTGTCTCCTTTCCGAAAGGACCAGTCCAAGGCTTTTCCTTTCTGTCCCATCCTAAATGCGCGGTGCTCGGCGATATCAATCAGATGCAAAATAAATGACAGCCGCATGATCTAAGTGTTGTTTATGTCCAAGAGGGGGGGGTTGAAAATACGGCTGATGATCAATCACGGTGCTGTTGGGAAAGCTTTTGCTCGATGATCGTAACTGCCTTGTGGGCGCTGAGGACTGGTGGTAGATGTGTTCAGCGATCCATCCGGCACTGGCTAGCGCAGGGATGAGTGCTACTGCAGACCCTGGGAGAGGTGCTGAACTTCTCCCGTGGGGAGAGGAAATGTTGGAGCCTTTCCTCACGCGTTCACCTGCCAGCATCCCTCTCCGCACCCGCAGCGAGCCTGGCGCTAGACAGCCTGTAGATGTGGCAAAGCAAAGGGCTCAGCACAGGCTCAGATCTGCCGCTGGGGAGGCAGAAACCGTCTTTGGCAGCCAGATCCCGGGGGGCAGCGGGTTGCCGGAGCCGGTTTTGTGTTGACTCTTGTGTTTTTGCAGGGTGAGGCGGGGAAGAGGGATGATGGAGACCCTTTTGTGTCGCATCTTTTTCCTTTTACTGAATTGCTTTGTCTCTGTCTCCCAATTTCCTTCACGTTGCAGTAAGACCTACCTCCTTCCCGGAGAGCCGGGGTTTGATTTGCGCGCTCACACGCCCCAGGATGAAAAGCCTTGCAAGGTCTTACGATACTCGGGTATGCTGAGGGTTAACGCTGTGTAGGAATTAATTTCTTGTTTTGGAAGGGAGCTCTGAAAAGCTTCCTAAAAAGCTGAGAATGATGCTGGCACGGTAGGCTCGGTGTTGGGATCCTACGTGGGGAGGGTGTTAGAGGTAGGGCTTTTGAGTTTTGGAGTTAGCGGTGCCAAAGTTTGCAGCTTGGCATTGCCTACAGGTGTTTTCTGAGCAAAATGGCATGGTGTCCTGGGAGAGACTTGGCTCGTCTTGATTTATTAGTCACAATATCCCCTTAAACGGAGGTCCCACATAGCTGAGACTGAGAGCCAACGTCACCCCTTCCCCCTCAGTGCTGGGACTCAAAAAGTCTCATGTCCTGCCCATGAATCTCCCTCCCCAGTTAGGGATGCAGTTTGGATTATGACCGTTTTCCATAGCAAAGCCCTCAAACCGCTTGATGCTCAAAATAAAAAGCCCTTTCTGGTCCTCACTAGTGTGACAAAAGGCTTCAGGGGGTTCTTTCTTACCCCCTCCTTGCTTGCAAGACTGAGTTAATGGACACCAACCGCTCCAGGCGCCCAAGGCAATGAGATTTCCCGTCTGTGCAGAGAGTGCGGGCAACCCACTGCCTTACTGCAGGGTATCAGCGATGAGCGAGCTTCCTTGCATGACTGTCTTCGGGTGAGAAGCACTTTGTATTGCTTAGGGTTGAGCTCTCAAGGTGACTGCGACGAAAAATACAGAAATAAATACATAGGGCTCCCCGGATGTTTTTCACTCACATTCTGAAGTTTTTTAAAAGAGTGAGAAGGTATTCCTCTGGTGCAGATTGGGAAACTGAGGCGTGGAGAAGCAAAAGGCTTAGTCCACATTTGTTGATGGGAATCCTCACTCACCACCATGAGACACAAACTGAAGGCCAGGTGGTAGTTGGAGATGAGGGCAGTGAGCAGTCCCCTGCCCTGGAGCCTGTGCTTCAACAGCCAAGTTGGTCAGAACAGGATGCTTTCAAGATCAAATTTTTCCCAGCTAAAATAACAGATGGGCGCTTTAAAATGAGAAAATAGCCCCTTGGGTTAGCGCGCTGGCCAGGGGCAGCTGCACTCTCGTGAAGGTTGGTTCCCGCATCTTTGAAATTGGGTACAAAATGCTTTTAATCGCCTTTGGGAATGGAGACATCTTTGCAAAAATGAGATGTGTTGTCATACCGACAGTCTGTGTGGTGATTTTCTGGAACTGACATTCCTCTTTGTTGTTGGGGTTTTTTTGGGGGATTTTTTTTGACTCACCCCACTGGAACTGTCTGGTTTTCTTTGTTTGTCATTGGTGCCTGTGCTCTGCTAAGTTGGCCTTGTCCTTGCTTGGTTGTATCTCGTAAGGTGCTGAGCAGCCACCCAGGTAAGAGGTGCCAAGTCTCAGCCCTGCATCCCCCGTAACGGGACCCGGTGTAATGTGACATTTGTCCTGCAACCCTTTCCTTTGGAAAAATCCCAAACAACCCTCTTTGAGGCCTTAGAGATACTCTGAAGGCTTTGAACGGGCACCCTTTGGTTTGGAAACCCTCTGGTCTTTTCATTTGAGATGCCTCTAGTCCCTGCAGCTCAGTGAACCTCGCTGGGGAGGCGTGTTCTTCAAAGATGATTCCTGGAGCCATGGAGGAAGCCAACTCTTTGCTGAAGTATAATGTTCCCAGCTGTTTCTACCTCAAATACTAATATTTGTAGAAGACACCAAGTTCTCAGGGCTGGAGGAGAGCCTGAAGACCTGAGTGAGGGAGCAGTGTTGGGATTGCAGCCTCCATCCCACCATGTTGCCTATCAGCAGGTGGCTTTGACTTTAC